AATTTACCTATGTTTGCTAGTAGTATTGTCATGATTATTTTTACACTTAAATCTTTGTTACAGCTGCAATTTATTTTGATGGAAGTATTAATAGTAATATAGGGATACACATTTGTCAGATTAATTAACGCTAATTGCTTTGTTAAATAACCCTAAAATCTTTGTGGCATTGCTGTGTTAAATAACCCTACAATCTTTGTGGCTTAATATTAATAATTTTTTTTTTCTAGCTCACACATAGTCCAAGCTAGAAAATGACAGAGCTGGACTTCAAATGAGCAATCTGTATCTATTATCCATGATCTTGACCCTATTAATTATACCTTTTTCTTCCCCTCCCCCTCAATTATTCTTTGAGTGGGCATGTGTTGCAATCTGTAATGTAAAAGAAACGAAGAGTTTTCTCCTATTATACTCTCAACACAACACACTTCTGACACCAGATGTGTGGGGTTTATTCCAGAGGACAATTTAACTCAATACTGACACTAGCTGGAGTTAGTAAAGACCCCACAGAGTAAGGGCTCAGTTCCACAAGACTGCCCTCACTTCAGATGTCAACTTGAAAGTCCCAGGTGGTAACCTGTGCTTTTAACTGACTGGCTATAAATTTGGGTTCCCATGACCACTCTCCTTGAGTTTGACAATTTGCTAGGATGTCTCACAGAACTCAGGGAAGCACTTTACTTACACTTACCAGTTTACTGTTATGGATATTATAGAGGATACAGACGAACAACCAGATGAAGAGATGTCTAGGACAAGGTATGGGGCATGCCACCCTCCCAGCACTTCTGAGTTTTCACCAATTACAAATCCAGGAGCTCATCAAATTTTCTTGTTCAAGATTTTTTATAGAACTTAATCTCCAGCTTCCCTCTCCACCTGACCCCTGCTTTGTGGAGGTGAATGGACAGGACTGAAAGTTCCAACCCTCTAATTCTCTAGTCACTTACTTGGTCTTTCTGGTGGACTAGTCCTATCCTGAGGTTGCCTAGGAGCCCCATCCTAAGTCACCTCATTAGCATGAACTCAGATATCATTAAAATGGACTGATGTTGATTAACAAATACTCCTATCACTGAGGAAATTCTAAGGGTTTTAGGAGCTCTGTGACACTAACCGGGAACAAAGACCAGAGATATTTCACGTTATAACACATAGTTTTGTTTTCATTTCAACTTCACCTTTTATTTATTTATCTTTTTAGAGACAGGATCTTGTTATGTTGCCTAAGCTGGGTTGCAGCGGTGAAGATCATAGCTCACCGTAACATCAAACTCCTGGGCTCAAATGACCCTCCCTCTTCATTCTCCGGAGTAGCTCAGACTATAGGCACACACTATCATGCCTGGCTAACAAAAAAAAAAACAATTTTTTTTTTAGAGATAGGGTCTAGCCACATTGCCTAGGCTGGTCTTTAACTCCCCGTGAAATGATCTCCCTGCCTTGATCTCTCAAAGTTTTGGGATTACAGGTGTGAGCCACTGTGCCCAGCCAAATTTATAATGTTTAAAAATTAGAAGTAGTATTACTTTCAATACAGAAAACTTGGAAAACATACATAAGCAAAAGAAAAATGATTATTCATAATGCCACTACCCTGAGAAAACCACCATTAACATTTTGGTAAGTCTTTATAATACATTTACATGCAATATATGTACATATTTTCTGCACAAAATTGGTTCTACTTATAGTATTTGACAATCTGCTTTTTATAGTTATATTATAGACATATTCTCATATCAGTAAATAGTATTCTGTAACTTCATTGCTAAAGGCTGCAGAATATTCCATGGAATAGTATTTAAAAAATGAAAATATCTTTTTTCTGATGATCAATATGCTAATTGCAAAAAATTAAGGTGGTGCAAAAAATATAGAAATTATAAAATTTATGTGAACCGTATGTCCACCTTCTGGAAATATCCACTCTTAATGTATCAGAATATTAACTTCCAGACTTTATACGTATATACAAACATAAAATATTTTAAATTGGATTATGCTTGTTTTGTGACTTTCTTTTCCCTTTAATGATGAACATCTTTCACGATGATGAAAATAGATCTACATAAAAATTTTAAAGTTGGTGTTATGTTCCAAGATGAATATTACATGAGGGCTGCAACAGTCATTGATGTGGGCATTAGATATTGGAAGTGGAGGGCTCAAATCCTAGTTTTGCCACTTAAAACTTGTGTGATCTTACATGCATTACTGTTTACTATAAAGCTCAATTGCTTAATAGAAATCATGAAGTCCACCTAGGAGGAGCAGTAAAGCGTTTGCTGGGGTTCCAAATTCTAATGTTTTATGTATGGAAGGCCTGAAAGAGGATCAATCCTTATTTTTTTTTTTTTTTTGAGATGGAGTCTCACTCTGCTGCCTGGGCTAGAGTGCCGTGGCATCCGCGTAGCTAACAGCAACCTCAAACTCCTGGGCTCAAAGCGATCCTCCTGCCTCAGCCTCCCAAGTAGCTGGGATTACAGGCATGTGCCACCATGCCCTAGTAATTTTTTCTGTATATTTTTAGTTGTCCAGCCAATTTCTTTCTAGTAGAGACAGGGGTCTCGCTCTTGCTCAGGCTGGTCTTGAACTCCTGAGCTCAAGCGATCCACCCGCCTCAGCCTCCCAGAGTGGTAGGATTAGAGGCATGAGTCACTGCACCCGGCCAATCCTTATTCCTTAAAGTTCAGATATGGTGGAATGCTTTGGCCTGTGCCCAAATGGGTACAGCCCTACTCAAAATCGCAGCCCTACTCAAAATCACTCACACTGAGAACAAACAGATAAACAAAAACAAACAATTCACTGAAGGCCGAAACAAACAAGAAGAAAAGAAAAAAGGCACCCATAAAGCAAACTAGGATCCTTATACACCACCGGTGGGAATGCAAATAACACAGCCACTTTGGAAAAGAGTCTGGCAATTCCTCACAAAGTTAAACATGTAGTTACGACATGAGTTAGCAATTTCACTTGTAGGTATATACCCAAGAGACATGAAAGCATACATCTGTCTATACAAAAACTTGTACAGGAATCTTCATAGGAGCATTATTCCTAGTAGCCAAAAATTGGAAATGACCCAAATGTCTATCAACTGATGAATGAATAAACCGAATGACGTCGTATATCTATACAATGGTACATTTGACAAAAAGGAATGAGTAGTGAAATATGCTACAACATAGATAAACCTTGAAAACAGTATGTTAAGTGAAAGAAGCCAGTCATAAAATACCAGATATTGTATAATTCTATTATATGAAATATCTAGACCAGGGAATTTATACAGACAGAAAACAGATTAGTGGTTTCCTAGGGCCTGGAGAGTTGGGGTAAAATGGAGAGTAACTGCTAACAGGTATGAGGTTGTTTCTGAGGTGATAAAAATGTTCTAAAATTGATTGTGGTGACAGTCGCACAACTCTGTGCATATACTAAAAACCATTGAATTGTACACTTCAGATGGGTGAATTATATCTAAACGAAACGGTTTAAAAAAGTAATCTAGGATATTACAATTCTAAAGGGTCATAATGAGATGGTATTTAAAGCATTGACAGAAGAAGCCTTAATAAATGGTGGCTATCACTCATTGATGGGTATTTAATTTGTTTACATTTTTCTCACCATGATCAACATTTTTAAAAGAACATCCTGGCCAGGTGTGGTGACTCAAGCCTGTAACCCCAGCTCTTTGGGGGCATGAGGCAGGAGGATGGCTTGAGGCCAGGAGTTTGAGATCGGCCTGGGCAACATGGGAAGACCCCCATGTCTAACAAATTTTTTTTAAAAATTAGCCAGTTGAGGTGCCTGTCATCCCAGCTGTTTGGGAGGCTGAGAAAGGAGTATTGCTTAAGCCCAGGAGTTCAAGGTTACAACAAACTATGGTTGCACCACTGCACTCCAGCCTGGGCAACATAACAAGACTCTATCTCTAAAAAAATTTTTTTAAAGATCGTGAACGTAACAATATTGAGCACTTTTGCAGCTATTTTTTTTTTTCCTGAACGTTTGGAGATGTAAAAGCCTGACCAAATGTTATGTACGTCTTTTTTCAGGACCCACAGTCTGGGTCAGTGTGCATTTCATTGGGAGCACAAATGCCAGCAAAGCACCTTTTCTTTAAAGTTTTTCTGTAAAAGTGGTAATACATGCATAACTACACACACTTAAAGGAGCCTTTCCAGTATTATTTCCAAAGGTCTTGCTTTGGGAAAAGTTTTAGTATTAAGTTGTTAAAACATATATTCAAAATATGTTATAATGCTTATAGAACTTGGGTAGGTTCTGGTAGAAAAGGAATAGGAGATGGTTCTGCTTCTATCCTATTTGTGGAACTTCGCATGCCTTACAGCAGGGTAAAACTTGGAATCTCGCTGTATTAAGTTTGCCTTACTGCTTCTTATAATGGGTATTATTAACCTAAACTCTGTTCCAGGGTGTGAACACAGATAAACTGCATGGAAAACACTTAGCTTGACTTTCAAACAGCTCAAGTGCTAACAGGTGGGGAGAGGGTTTGGCCAAACTGCGTGAGGGCATGTGGAAGCGTGGAATTTCAGTGAAGGGAAGGCCCGATTCAAAAAAACAAAAAGGGCAAAAGAATTTGGAGCATACCAATATGTACATATTTTAGGCTTCCCTCTCTTCCCTGGGCAACCGGAGCCCCCAAAGTTGCTCTGTTCCAGGTGAGAAAGCCACTCCGTGGCTGCCAGCACTTCCGGAAGTTTAAGGTCAGGATGCGGGAGCCCAGGTGAATGCAGGGCAGGCAATGCTTGCGCAGTTCATTCAGGGGCAGCTGGAGGCACTAACTGGCTGGAGCGGAGCGAGCAGCAGGCACCGGAGGGCTGGGACGTAGAGGCGGGTCAGCAAAGGTCGGGCGATTGTGTCGGAGGCAAACCGGCCGTAGGCGGCGGGCGGAGCCCACAGCAAATGATGTAACGAGCGGAGGGATCCCGCCGGGAGAGTGGAGGCGGCACGTTGAGACCCCAGGGGTACGGGGCGGGGGAACCCAATCCCCGCCCTATTTCCCCGCCCCTCCCTCCGCCTCCTTCACGCCCCTCCCCCCTCCTCCCCTCTGGTTGGAAAGTTTCTAGAATCTCTTCCCAGCGGCCTTTGCGGTTCCAACATGGCGGAGCTGACGGTGGAGGTTCGTGGCTCCAACGGGGCTTTCTACAAGGTAATGACCCTTTTGCCGCTTTGTCGGGTCTTCTGGGGGCTAGAGCGGGTTTGAGGGGGGGTTGGTGGTCCCAGAGAGTGAGGTTTGGGATCGAAGAGGGCGGCCAGGCCAAAGCCCGAGGCCACTGGGTTCCTTGCTTCTCCCCCCTCCACCCGCGGTTTAACGGTCTCGGGGGCCCGGGCTCCGTTATGTTTTGAAACAACACGTCGGATACCTCTTGCCTTTTCCTCCTTACGAACCTTCTTCTTGGATGCTCGTGCGGCCCTTGGCGGGCCAGTGCAAAGAAGCGGAGTGCTTGCTGGGCGGCGGGGAGCTCCCGAGGAGCAGGCCTGAGCTCGGGGCGGTCGGGAGTCGCGAAAGGAGGCGGTGGGATTGTGTGGTTACACCCGCTCCCCCGCCCCTCGGACTGGGCAGTGCGAGAGCGCCGCGGCCGGCTCCTCCGACCCCTCCCCGCCCCCTGGGGGGGTGCGTCGCGGAATCTTAGGAATTCACCTTTGTATTAGGGTTTTGGACCAACACATCTTTAGTGCCCGAGGAGGAAGGGGGTACCGGATTGAGGGTTAGGATCGAAGAGAGAAAAGTAGAAAACCTTGGAATGTGGCGGGTTGTAATATTTTTGCGGCCTGGGAAATTGGGCGGCGCCTTAGCCCCTCTATTACGGAAGAAAAAGCGAGAGAGTTCTGTGCTTTAAAAGTAAGATTTAAAATATGAAATGGAACAGGGAGACAGGTGGAAAGGTGAGTAGTTTCTTTATATCAGTTATCCCGTATTTTGGAGGGAGGTGTTTTTTTGTTTTTTCCACGAGGTGTTTTTTTGTTTGTTTCCTTTGGGAGGAAGGAGATGCATTACTGTGGAATCGGGGCTGGGAAACGGAAGAGGTATCCCAGAGTAGAAGAATTTCGTAGGGGCTTCCGGTGTAAAGGGTTAAATAACTGAAAATGAAATCCTAACAGTTTTTTTTTTTTTTTTTTTTGCCATTACAGCATTCCCTTGTCCCTATTTCCCCAAAGTTTGCCTGGATGTTACAAGATCAATACAAAATCTTCCCAGCTGTTGTCTGTCAGTCAATCTCTCTAAGCCAGCATCTCAAATGCTTGAGAGTCTTGGCTATTTTTATGAAGGGCCTTCTTCTAATTGGGTATTGTGCGTATGCAGAATGAATCCTCACAGGTTTTCATTTCAGCATACTTCTTATCCCATGGGATTTTATTTTATTTGGTCATGATTTCCTATTTTCAGCGTTTTGTTTTTCCTTTCTTAGTTTACTGATAAGCTGGTTTAACTGTCACGTGGTAATAGCATAGTAGGGAATCACAGTGTGTAAATAAATTATCCCTCTAAGCTTTTTACAAGTTTAAATCTCCTTAGGTGGTAAACATAAAGTAGAAACAGTGCCTGTTAGAAAGGAGTCTTTATATTAATACGTGAGTAATTACGTTAATGTTCTAGGTTTAAAACTTGGTGTCAGACAAAATGACCTAAATGAAATTTGAGTAGATATTCCATCAACTTCTGTTCTTGTTGAAACCGGTGGTTGCCTTCCGCAGATGACTGCAGATGAGGTTAGCTGAGGCACAGGGCACAAAGAATGGGCTTACCCATATTTTTCTTGTCAAGGATAGGTAAGGCTCATTATTTTGCATCAACCCCCCTACCCCCCACTAAAGTTTCAGATTCTGTTTGGCTATGTAGTTCTTGTGTAAGGGAGGTATGCATTTTTTCCTTGCATATTGAAAAATAGTGATTATTTTGCTTAAACAAATGATTTTGCATTATGTGGTAGAGAGAACATTTCTTTTTAGCAAAGTGTATTTTGTCAGTAGCCTGCTATAGAAGATATTTTTCATTTTGTTATTTTATAAGATTAAGGTAATCAATTTGACTGTTTTACTAAAGATTGCTTACAATCTTTGGTTTTCGTGGTATTTTTTTTTTTTTCAATCCACTGTAAATCAAATGTCCCCACTTTGAAACTCTGAAGTATTCATTGTTGATCTCTATCCACACTCTACAAATCTACTGCTTCGTTCTACTTAGACTTTGACTCCGTTACCCATTTTATCTTAGAAAGTGAGATGGTGCTTGGCGAAAAGTCAGGAAAGACGCTAGGCACATTTGTGTGTGCTGAAATGATGTCTGTACTTGAACACTTGGAATTTTATGTCCACCCATAATCTACTTGTTACATGCACTTTGTGGAAACTGTGGTCTTCAGAACTCTGGAAGAATGAGAATGGTGAAGTGGAAAGAGCTCTGGATTTGAAGTAAACAAATGGGAATTCTAGATCTGAACTTGAGCTTACCATTATCTAGCAATAGACCCCTGAACAAATCTCTCTGAGTTTCAAGTAGTTCAGTGATTTCCCAGTGTTTTTTATCCTATTGAACGGCCCAGTTGAAAAACATTGGCTTATCGCACAAGCAATTTATTAATATTATTTTTAATCATTATTGGGGTTAATTTACATATAGTAAAATAAGACTTTTTTTGGTGTACAGTTATGAATTTTGTTAAATGCTGACTATTTAACCACCACCACAACCAGATTTCCCTAATGCGCCTTTTTAGTCAACCTCACCTCACCCCCAACCTCTAGGGTGTTTTTCATCCTCAGAGTTTTGCCTTACCCAGAATGTCATATATAGAATTTTACGATATACTCTGTAGTGTTTTGAGTCTGGCTTCTTCTATTTATTGGAGGAGCAATTTAATTTTAATTAATTTTTCTAATTTAGAAAGTAATACGTGGTTAGTGAAGGAATTTTGGAAATTCAGCAAAAACTAGAAATTGCCTTGAGATAGGAGCTGTTAACATTTTGGCGTATTTTTTCTTTTTAATGGTGTTTTTCAATGTACAGGTGATTTGAATTTCCCTCCTCTTTTCTCCTCCCCCCACCCCATATACACGGACACATATTTGGCTGTAAGTGTGAATTGCCATTGATGAGTTTCAGAATCTGTTATCATGCCTTGAGACACTGCTTTGTAGACGTGGATTAAAGTTTTTCTAGTGAAACTGAAACTTAATTTCACAAATTAATTGGAACCAGCCTGTGAAGAGCTGAGTATAAGGAGGATTTTATTTAAAATGATGATAGTCTCTTTTTGTAATATTTACACAGATGATAGCATGCTCTCCACATTATTCTGCATCTTTTTTTTTTTTAAACTTAACAGTGGATCTATACTTGTTAAAGAGATAACTTGATGTGTGCTTGTTTGTAGCCCTGTAAATCTGTGGAGATTGAAAGAATGGGAACGTGTTAATTAAGCACTTGGTGTTGGGGTATAATTTTGTATGAAACAATGCTTTTGTACCTTTTATACCTGAAGTAGCACCTTAGGTTTTAAACTACTGGACATTTAAGTTATGCTTTTTTTTTGTTTTTTTAAAGTTTTATTAAGGTAGAATATATCTATAAAATTAACCTGTTTTAAGTGTGCAATTGATTGTGTTTTTACAGAGTTGTATAACCATTGACACAATCTTATTTTAGAACATTCCATTACCTCCCTGCCCCCCAAAAATGTCTTGCCCATTTGCGTCATTACAGTGCTTTAAACTGATCTATACATAAACTTTGTAATAGCACTGCAAGTTGTGTAGCCATGGGCTGAGTATAATTTTAAATAGAAGTCAAAAGTCACTCACTTTTTGGCTCATGGAGAGGAAAGTTTTTCCAAGGTGTTCCAAGGAAATGTGTCATCATCTCCAAGCTAGCTGAATGAAATTTCAAGCTTGCTCTTTAGAAGATAGGATCAATTACTTTTAGAGCTCTGGGATTTCTGCTTTATGAAATTGACCGACTACAAAACAAATCTCAAAGTACTATAATATTTCTATAGTTAATTTCCATATTAGTTTAGCTTAATTTAATATTAAATGGAATTTAAGAGTAATTTTTTTTTTTTTTTTGGAGACAGTCTTGCTCTGTTGCCTGGGCTGGAGTGCCATAGCATCAGGCTAGCTCACAGCAACCTCAAACTCCTGGGCTTAAGCAATCCTTCTGCCTCAGCCTCCGGAGTAGCTGGGACTACAGACATGTGCCACCATGCCTGGCTAATTTTTTCTCTATATTTTTAGTTGTCCAGCTAATTTCTTTCTATTTTTAGTAGAGACGTGGGTCTTATTCTTGCTCAGGCCGGTCTTGAACTTCTGACCTTGAGGGATCCTCCCGCCCCAGCCTCCCAGAGTGCTAGGATTACAGGCGTGAGCCGCCATGCCCGGCCAAGAGTAATCTAAATTATGCAGTAGGTATATTATTGCTAATGATGCAGAATTATATAAGAGTTGTGTTCTGAGGGTAAACTGACTTTTCAAGGCTAGTACAGAATCTTGTTGATTGCTTTGTGGAGATTTGTAGTTGAAAAAAAGATGGTGGCTGCCTTAATTTTAGAGCACCCCGTTACATTAAAAATACATAGTTCCAGATATTTTAAAGATGTTTTTCAGTTGTGCATGTTTAAAAATGTTTTCATAAAAATGTTAAAGAACTAAGATTTAACTAAGTGAACATAAACGGTCACAACAGTTTTTATTTTCATTCTTGTGTAGTTGCCAAATGTTCTTTGTAGGGGTAAGGAAGGCTGGGATCTACTTCCATCTTGCTGATGTCAATCACAGTTTTTAAAAATTAAATTTAAGGCTGGGTACTATGGCTCACCCCTGTAATCCCAGCACTTTCGGAGGCTGAGGTAGGAGAATTGCTTCAGGCCAGGAGTTCAAGACCAGCGTGGACAACATAGTGAGACCTTGTCTCTACAAAATTTTTTTTTTTTTTTTTCAAAGGCTAGTCAAGTGAAGCAGTGAGAGTGGAGAAAGAACAAAGGAATCTAACTGATTGTGATCAATTAGTTTTAAACACCACTGTGGTTGGACCAGCCTCTACAAAAAATTAAAAAAAAAAAATTTCAGTGCTATGTAGAAACTTGTGGAAAAAATTTAGAAAAATGCACATTTTTCTTGGAAAATTTTTGTATTACAACTAATACATAATTA